CGCATTTGAGTGTTTAAAACGGAGATTGTGATTCAGGTATAATAAAATAGTATATTAAAATACAAGTGTCATTTGACGAAGATTGTCGCACGAGGTAGTAACTACCTCGTGCGACAAGTAGACAAATGACACGTGTGCTTTATACTATTTTTTCTATTTCGACTTTATTTTAAATAATAAATTATGGAAATTATAAATATTGCCTTTAGGCGTTGTTAGGTAATTTTAAACTATCATTCAGTGTATGTTGGTAATAGACACAGTTCATTTATTTTCACGTTGACTAACCTGATTCCTGTATTTTCAAACTTCAAACTTTTAATTATTTGGTCATAATTCCATTTTGCGGCAGTTATGATGAATACTGATGACAAACACGTCTCTTGTACCCCACCAGAGATCCAAGAGATTGCCAATGAAGCGACGTTAAATTTACTGCCTGCAAAATCGAAAGTAAAGTATGAGGAGTACACAATTTTTGAAAACTGGCTCACCGAGAAGGGGAGTTCAAAAAGTAAGCGAGAATGTACTGCTGGCATATTTTACTACGCTAAGTAAAAATAAAAAAAAGTTCTACCCTTTGGAGTATATATTCAAAATTAATCGGAATTAATACAATCGGTCAAGTTCCTCGTACGTTATTTATACTTTACAGGTTATGTTTAGTTTTGATTTGACGGATACCGTTGACGGCAAAAAAGCGAGGGGTACCAATCCAACAAAATAAAAAAAATAATACGTTTCTATTTCTTTCAGCATCATTTCTGTCCAGAAACGCACGCAAACTGGGCCAATCAAGTACGGTTTCGGTATTGTTTCCACATCGAAATAGAAAAAATGTTTTACATTATTTGTATGTCAAATCAGTTTACGTTACTCGTTTCGACATCTCACTCGTTAACATAAACCTTGATTTACCATACTCATATGTAAATAACTATTTCTTAAGTTATCGATTTCATAAGTAATCTATCTCAAAATAGACTAAAGCTAGGAGCCTGCACATCTACACTATATCAGAAAGCTTTTAGTGAAAATTTGAAGTCTAGAGTCTATTGTAGTTGCTGAGATCTCACTCGGACAGCCGGCCAGCCAGCCATAACGAATATAATAGCGCATTTTTAATGCGCTAAAAAATTTACCAGTTCTCTTTGGTTAAGGTGAAAGGTCGAAATTTAGTTTGTAGATCAAAATTTTCATTTATTTACAAATATCGTCGGAAAATCCACAAAACAGTTTGGTTTCATCATAAGGAAGAACTAAAGTTTATCTCGACTCTCTTTGACCAAGATCAATTTGGTATAGCAAAATATTCATTTTTCACAAATTTCGTCGGAAAAACAACAAAATACTTAGGTTGCAAGGGGAGGAACTGTACTGTATCCATCTCTCTTTGGTTAAAGTAGAGGTTGGTAAATCAAATTCTTCATTTATTTATAGATTTAGTTGGAAAAACCACGATAACCTTATAATTTCATGGGGAGAAACTAAATTATATGCCAGCTCTCTTTGGTGAAGGTGAAAATTAGGTTTGTAGATCAAAATCTTTATTTATTTGCAGATTAGCAGACGCGGCGAACATTGGTACTACCTATCAGTCAATGTCCAGCTCTCGGATGGAAATAATGGCTCGCCTCATGTCGGCCAAATGTTCCGATCCTGGATGGCACATAAGCTCATTTTCGGGACATCGTGCAATTTTAGTAAATCAGAAACCTTCGTGGGCACACGTCCAACCTCGCGTCCAACTATTCCCCAAAGCTTCACCACAGTTGAATGAATGGGATATGATCTCGGTTTCGGTGGCTGCTCCGCCTTACCTCACCCACGTTTACTATATATATCAGAAACATTCGCAGGCATACGTCCAGCCGTTTCTCAAAGTTTCAACGCAATCGGATGAACGGTTTATGCGGACGTTCTATTTGGAAACAGCGCCTACAGTAATTATGGGTCACCCTGTATAATGCAAATATCAATTTTTTAAAAGTCTAAGGGGGTTGTTATTTTAGATTAATTTAAATTAATTTGAATTCGAAGTCAAAGATATTTTGTTTCAGGTTTCTAAGTTGTAGATTTTGTTTAAATAATCGCTTTGTTTGTTTTGCAATAGAAGAAAGAGATTTATTAAGTCGTCGTGATAAAAGTGAAGAGTCTGTTTCGAGTTAAGTTCAGTGGTGGATCACGTACTCAAAGAAGAAATGTGTGTGCTGTCGTGTCGTTCAAACAATTATCGTTTATCTGAAGCCTTTCTATAAGGTCTTGAAGTTGTCCATGAAAGTGAATGTTTCCACCAGCCAAAAAATCGTATCTACAATATTGTAAAACAGAAAACTTTGAACAATAGAACTCTATATCTGGGTCGTACAATGGATTTAAATAAACACACATGACACAATTAACTGAGTGACAATGAAGAAATTTATTCCGAAACATATAGGAAAAAAAAATTATCAAGAAAAACTTGAAAATCGTGTGTTAAGGCTAAAGTACGTTTTTTTACTGTGTCTGTTTCCGGTTTTTGACGGCAAAATCATGACTAATTTTATCGGATCAATATTTTTACTGGATCCGGTATACTGTCGTCTGTGTGAACTCGCTCATAATAATTTATACACTGTGTCCAAGATAAGGATGTTTATCCTGCGTTTATTGCGCCATTAAAGAGTTATTATCATGCTGTAAAGAAAACCGGAAATTTCCGATTACTTCCGAAGATATGCCAGACAAACCGAAATTTGCCGATTTCATTTTTATTTTTTTCTGATATTATTTGACAGATACAAAAAACAAAAAAACACTTTCTCTTTTTGGGCTGTACAATACACGGTTGACAGATTTTCAATACAACGTTCCGTTTCGGAGAAATTATCAGTAAATTTATTTTTTTATATGGACATAAAAAAGTACATACTGTATTAAGTAACATTTTTTATTACGAAACGATGTTCGGTACCAAAAAAAAACAAAAGTTGAAAAATTTGCCCGACAGGCATTCTCACGCGTGTTGTGAGCGGGTGCACCATCCTGTTGAAACTAACAGAGTTTCCGGTTTTTGTTTTTTCTTGTGCCGTACCTCTTTGTAAAGGGTGATCAAAAATGAGTTGCTGTCGAGTCGCCTTTGGAAGTTCAAGTTAAAGTAAGCTTTCCCATGTAAACAAAAATTCCAAAGGTGATTCGACAGCAACTCATTTTTGATCGCACAGTAGTAGTAATAAAAACTGTTACCTAATACAATATGTACTTTTTTTACGGACCATGTAAAAAATATTGTTGTTGTTGACTTCTCCGAACCGAAACGGTGCATTGAAAATGTATCAACGGTGTCTTGTAAAGCCCAAAAAGTGTTTTTAATTTTTTTGTATCTGTTCAAATAACATCAGAAGAAACTAAATATACGAAATCGGCAAATGTCGGTTTGCCTAGCTTATCTTCGGAAGGAATTTTCTGGTTGTCTTTACAGGATGATAATAATAAAACTTTTTAACTTTTCTCCAATTTGACCATAGTCGTATCTCCTATGGTTTCCGAGCGAGATCCCCATGATAGACGTCCTTATCTTGAACACTGTATATGACATCAACTAAAAAATGTACCTATCCGATAAAACAGACCTGTAAAACCGATCACAATGTGTGAACGAGTCCTTTTAGACGGAAAAACGACAAAATACCTTGGCCTAGCAACACAGTTCCGTATAAAATGCGTATATTGTAGGCTAAAACCTAACTTACACATAAATGTCCGGCGGATGTTTCTAATTCTTGTATGAATACTTTATATTATGCTTTTATTATTTCTCCTTAATATACGAATTATATGCGTGTATTAAAGTGATGTTATATACGTTTATCAAACGAATGCTAAAAACGGATATTTATATACGTATTATTTATTAATCGTATTTTAAACGTAGGTATAAAATTCTTCTACACAAAAACGGATACCATACTACCAATACCGAATTTATCCTATCAGTAAAATATTTCAACCGTTTTTTTAAACGTAAGTGTATTTGCGCGGAATGCTGAAATCATCATTGAGAGAAAATAAATTTTAGATCAAAATTATTTATTTACATATTTACAAATTTCGTCGGAAAATCGACGAAACACTTTTATTTCATATGGATTCCTTGATTCCACGGGGAGGAATTATTTTATGCCAGCTCTCTTTGGATAAGATCCAAATGAAGTAGGGAGATCAAAATTTTCATGTATTTATTTACAAATTTCGAAAACGACAAAATGCTTTGGGAGAAACTAGATTTTATGAAAAAAATCTTAAAATTGCTCAACAAAAAATAAAAATCAATGTTACGTACTATTCGTCATCTCATGTACTCATCCATTGGCATTTACAATTACACCCTGTAATTAGAACGTATAATAATCTCGCAAGACGAACGAACAGCTGTGGTGCACGCTAGTGCGGCTGGTAAATATAAAAACCTGAAAACTAGAAAATAATCAAGTAGGTACCTACAATCGAAAAAAAACAGATAAAGGCAGTGTTTATCCGCAAGTTGCAAAAGTACGACTCTCGATAAGAATATTCTTTTCTATTAAATGTAGGCAGCCGTTACTACGTTTGAAATAAAAATATCGTATCTAGGATAATAAAGAAACCTTGAATTAATGTTTCATTACAAATTGACTTATACAAGTAGGTATGGGGATAGATTTTTAAAAATCAGAAATCTCGTAATGAAGTAAGAATGAAAGCCAATAACCTCATCGCGAAAACACAGGAAAGCCGAGTCGCTTTTCATAATAAAATCGTAATTGCAAAGAAAACGCGAACGACAATTTTTTCATACTCCATTTACCAACAAATAGGTACAGTTACAATTTCACTTTTCAATACACAGATAAACATTGTGGAATGTGGATGTCATCAACGTAATTTTCTTCTGTTATTTTTCCCCCATCATCATAACAAAGCTGAATATCCGAATAACACCGGAATAATACGGCTTTTTACGAATGTAGCTCTGTATCGTGACGTCATATAATTAGAGTAAATACAAAGTAGACGATGGTGCCAGAGGCGTGCTGTTTGTAATACGGTGTGATAATTGTGATTTTAAAAATGGATAATAGTGCAGTTCAGGTAAAAAATGACTTTCAGTTAAAATTCGTTATTTCGCATAAAACGACACGCTTTGTAGTCAATTTTCAATTTTACAAATCATTTTAAAGCTTATTGCATATTAATTATTGGTAATTTTTATTTCGCAACTAGCCACATTATAATTATGAAGTCTCATTATTATCAAAGACGCAAGGTCAGATTAAATTTATCATCTCTGCATTCTTTTAATCACTTTGTAAATTTAGAAGTATTAATCGTTGGTGTAATTTGAAAATAATAGGAAACCCGATTTCGCGCACACAAAGAAACTGTGTATTCCGCAGTATTAATGTCTTACCTAGTTTTGATTGATGCCAATTACATTCTAGCGATAAATTTAGGCGCATTCCCATTAAGGTATGAAGGGAAGGAACTTGTTTTAATGATAAGAATTCCTTTCATCTTTGAAACAGTTTATACGCGCACGCATTTAAATAATTCGCCAAATTGAATAGCAAATAAAATTTCGAATGGAAACGTACAAGGTGCTTAATTTATTAATTTCGCATTTACTTATTCTCATTTAATTTTATTTTCAGCTGGTGGGATCTCCTTGCGGTCAGCATGGACCGTACACGTTTTACAAAGCGTTTAAATACGTAAAAAATGGATTAAACCGATTAGTGAAGTTAAGTGAGTTTTTCTTTGTAAAATTGTGGACAGATTCGGATTTAGTGTGCATTGGTGAATTACAACTGTTATGGATTGATAAAAACAGTGAGCAAGTGTTATCGAGTTTGCGACTTTATTTTTTGCCCGAAAATACACCGGAAGGCCGGATGGATCACGGAGAGGTGAGTCGATTGTTTTCTTTAATTAGATATTATTAATTTGAAATGTAAAAATTATGTCGGTTAAAAGAAAATGTATAGGATCAAATTTATAAGGATATGCAATTACGAGCCTCATTTAATTATAAATAAGTTTTTCTTTTAACTATTTTTAATGTAAATGAAGCCTTGGAAATCATTGTTCGTAACACTAGTAGAAAGAGACGCCGATGTGCATTTTTCTTGGCGTAATGATTTCATGTACTGAAATAAAAACAGGTTGTGCCGCTTATTAACAATTGATGTATGAATTACACCCATTCGAGCAGTACACTTGAGCCGGTTTACAAAGATTATCCCACTCTAGTTTATGTTTCTCTTTCTACTTTATATTTGACGTTATTATTTCTGTACGTACCAAACTTATTGTAGTTAAAAAGCCAATTTATCCCTTTAATGTTACGGGCTTTTAAACATTCTTATTTTTAACACTTTCTACATTTATTCTAATTGATCCAATTCCGAGAATGGAGTTACGATAAAAACCAAATTTGACACGAAAATCGACTGCCTAATACAAGTCGCATTCAATAAAAATTTCACATGACAGATATAATAAGGCAGTTAAATTTAATTTGAATTTATCTCAAAACACATCTATTATTATCAAAACTTATTTCCGACTCTCTAGAATCGTGTGTAATTATTAAAAGGAATTCAAATATGCACATAATAAAACATTTGTTTCTTTTGTTCTTTTTCGAACGTTATGAATCATTTGCTTTATTTTGCTCATTTTAATTTCATTTATTAATTAGGCGTGCCAAATTATCAACGAATTGGTAGGTAGGTGTATTTTTAAACGGGCTTGTTTTTAAAACATAACCGACAAATTTTGTAATCCAACTTGTGATTTGAATATAGACAGTGTAGAACGAGATCATTAGCAGGACCGTAATCTGCTCATTTACTTTTATTTCCCCCAATTCCGAAAATGAATTTAATCATCTAAATAAGCGACACATCATTGGCCAGTGACCTTATTGAAGGCCAAAAATAACTTCTTTTTTCTTTTCAACTTGATATTTTTTTAGGTATCGGGTGGTTTCGCTGACGCATTTATTTTATCAATAGTAGTACATTGTTCCACTACCTATTAAGCACGTTTTGTAGATAACGTCCAAAGGAATATCAAATTAAAAAAAGTCTCCCTCTGTTTTTCAAATAGCATAATGCCTCTAGTTATTCAGGTGCATTTTCACGTTGCACCAGTTTACATTATCGCGTTTCATTGAAATGCAACTGCATAAATCACTTATTTGCTTGTAGATACTGGATTAAATTGAATGGAAATGTTATGTAAGTAGGCTTTTTACCTTATTAATTTATCATTTCCTAAATATACCGGTTGAAGTGGGCGTGAAGGTCTTTTAGAGATCTTTTCCAAAAGATTTGAAACCGCGAACAGCCCAACTGAAATAGGTACGACCGTTTTTTTTTTAAGTTCTAGGTAGCTAATAAAGCACGTTTACTTCTGGTCACGAGGATCTCACTGATCTATTTTTAAAACCTAATCAATTGGGAGTTTGTCACATGCAGGTATGCAGGCTTTAAAGCGCATTGAACAAATTGTAAAATGCTATTTGGTATTTTCTTCATAAAGCTGGATTCACATGCATACGAAATCCGACGATACTGTAATCCGAAAGACGTATGATTGGTCAACAATTTCAAATGTCAAGCACATTTGAACTTGTTGACCAATCATACGCCTTTCGGATTACAGTATCGTCGGATTTGGTATGCATGTGAATCCAGTTTAATACCTAAATCATCTGATTTTGGTGCGGAATATGAAAAAGAAAAGCTAGCTAGGTATATGTGTGCATCTCATTTCTCTTTCTTTTCCAAAAAAAGAAAAAACATGTTTTCTCGCCCTTTACGTTTCCAATAGTATAGTAGTGCTGGTTGGCCCAACGCTACGCATTTGTAAATCCAAACGAGCAATTAATTATCAAAGGTAAATATAATTTATTTGAAAAAATTAATAATCACAATCATTTAAGTATACAGTTAAAAGTTTCATTAGGGTTGGTTTTTAAAAATTGTTAATGACAAAAAAATAATTCTAGTAATAATACTACTGCGGTGAATTGTCATCAATGACTAAATCAACTTGACATAATGACGAGTTCAGAAAAATTTGCCAAGTCTGAGACAGAATTGAATTATGATATTGTTTTGTTTGGACACGTCGTACTTAGTCTATTCTGCCCTTCTGATAAAACATTGTATCTGCACAAAGGTCAATGTTGAGTTGGGAGTAACGATAACGACTTACCCTTACTGCAATTTGTTAAGCTCAAAAAACCTATTTTCTTAACAAGTTTCAATATGGAAGTTTATCGTATGTTGAAATCTGGTGTCATAAGTCATTGCTATTTGTTATGTTAGTGGTCGTATATATCTCACACTAATTTAAACCAAAACCGTTGATATTAATCAACGCTAAAACCTAACCTAACTACCGCCAATAATAATTGTATCTTGGTTTATGATTGTGTGTAGATACGATTTTATTGTCCTAATCACATAACCTGAAAAATTGTGCGCGTGTGTTTTGTGCAAATGGATCTCGAAATGGATATAAAATTTTTGTGGCTGATATTGGTTAAAACGCAAAATAGTATTTTCTTTTCACATAACCGGAAGTGACTAAATTTCGAAATTTAACACACGTACGACATTCTCTCGCTTTTTATATTATACCTAATATTTCATTACATTGATGCCCGTAACAATCAGCAATCAACAACATTTTTTTTCTCCAACCACCTGAATAAGACGCTATTTTGTGACAGTGTTCGTTACGTAAAATTGACGTTTTGCGGATTAATCGCTTTCACCATGGCAACTGTACAAAAAGTGGATACTTTTTGGTCCTAGTACCAAAAAGAAATTGACCTTGAAAGTTGGCCAATTAAAAAATTACAATCACGAAGATATGTCACATTGACATCGTTTTACAATGCAGGTTATAAGATATTTTTATACATACATATCAAATATTTTAGCATATTCAATGCAAATGCTGTTACCCTCGCTGTTACCTATACGTATGTACATTTATTGAAAATGATTTACGCTCGCTATTTTTATTTAAACCATGTGTAACGTAATTTACATATTCGCGTAACGCCATCTACTTCAGACCCATTGCACTATTATCTGTCATTTTGAATTCAAAATTTGAAAAAGTTAATTGCAATTAATTTTAATTAAAAAACTGTATGGTAAGTTTTTTTATTTCAATACAAAATATAACAATATTAATTGTGTATACAATAGAAATGACTGAAACTGATAGCGACATGGATTGCACTCCGCCAGAGATTATAGAAACGGCAGAACATGCTACCTCAAGATTTGCTCCCTACAAAGTCACGAGAGGTGAGAAGTAAGAAGTAAGAACGAATAGGTTATAAGTTAACCTAAAAACTAGAGTGGCATGACACGTGAGGACAAGAAAGCAGAAGTTCTTATACTAGTAGTGAAACTATGACTGAATCTAAATTTGCATATAATTTGAAGTAAAGGGGGTTGGAGAAAAAATTTTATGTTTTATTCGTACAAAAAATGCGTTTTCGGGACTCGGAAATCTTCCTCGTCCCGAAAACTGACATTTTTTGTACTAATGAAACAAATAACTATTGTCTCATCGCTCTCTAAACGGATGCCCCGTCATTATTTTTAATTATTTATTTTTTTTAATTTATTTATTATCCCTCTCTTGTTCTGGGCCCTCAACAGACTTGCGCCCAATTACAGAGTGACTCGCATAATGCTTTTTAGAGGTCCCTCTGCAGAAGGTCTTAAGTTGTTCTATACTACAATCCGCTATTTACCTTACGAATTAGGAAAACTGCAGGAAAACCGAATTCGGAGTAGCCGGCAGAATGCTCGAAATGAGTCTAACTAAGCTAATTTGCATCTCTGCCACAGATGAAAAATTTACCCCAACCCAGGTTCGAACACCCGACCTCCGGATTTATATTAGGGCTCAATTATCGATAATTGAAGTCTATCCTGGGTTATTGATGTTTATTGATTATTGATAATGAGCGATAATCTGTAACTACGGTCTATTCAGTATATCTTCCGTTGCACGTCATTCCCTGAAGAAAACGACGTACCAACGTAAACTTACTTTCGTTTATTAGGCAACACATTAAGCATGTAGTTTATTTTAGCCGCAACAATTGGTAGCATTTCGCTATGTTGTCGCGTTTAAATTTGTAAATTTGACAGGTTGCTTTTGGTTTACTTTTCGTTTGATTTGATTTTGATTATTTTCTACGTCTTTCGCTGTGCATTGGTTTGAAGAGAAATTACTGAAGAATTTAGATAACCCGTTAGTAATTGTGTTCGATAACGGGAAAACAAACAACATTAAAGTGTGGTTAGGTGATCATAATGTGCAGTTCTCCGAAAATGATTTTACAGCCGAACTGTTGAAAAGGTTGCACAGTAAGTACGTTCGCAAATTATTTGATGTTATATAAATCTTGTTGATACTTTTAGGAATAAATCAGCTAAAATGTACCGCATAAGGCATTGACCACAGCCGAGCAATACGGTTACTTCGTTTTACGATTACCACCCTATCATCGTGTTTTTAATCCTATCGAACATATTTGGGGCATAGCGAAAAATTATTACAATCGACACATTGGTAGAGATGGACGAAGCATTGAAAATTGCATAAACATGTGACAAGAATCACTACAATCGATAACTTCCGAAACGTGGCGCAATTCAGTTAAGGATACGGAAACTGTAATACACGAGTGGTACGAAAGAGAAAAGCAATTAGATCTTGAAAACGTTGCTACTATTATTATAAACTTTGAACACGAAAGCAGTTCCGATGATTCCGATTAATTTGAATATCATCCATCACATCACATAACCTGTAAAATTTTATATTTAGTACTTTCTCTGTAAAAGAGATGGTACATTTGTACAGTTCATAAGTTATTAAAGTATATTGTATGTATATTGTGGTTCCAATTAACGAAATGAATAATAAAAATTATTTTTATTTTATTTAAGGTGTGGATTGTTCACACAAAGAATGCACTGTCTTGTTGACAAGGACATAACCTAAATCGCTCAAAACTAGATTTGGCATTATTGCATAGTAATTACGTCATAGAATATGATGACGTGCAACGGAAGTTATACGGAATTTTGATTCCAGGCTCAATATCTTTTATTCTGCGTAAAGTAAAAGTCAAATAAATACATCGACTATGAAATAATTAAAAATAAATCTACAGGAAGGTTTCTATGTAGGGCCAAAGTTACGAAACTTCATATTAAAAAATCTTGCTTTTTTAAATGAAACACCCTGTATATTTTTGTCATTTTTTAGCTCCTCAAAAAACTTTTTAACTTTCGGTAATAATGTCCTATATCCTATCTCTGATGGTTTAATGTGGGCAATATTCAAACATATCAAAATACAAAAACACTATCCAAAAAATCTTATCTTCAAGGCATTAAGTTACTCCGCACAATCGTTGACGCATCCTGTACATCAAATCTTAAACTGTAATTATTGTCAATTGCACAAATCCTACAAATCTGTAGAAAAATTCACAGATTTCGCAATCCTTGCAACCATCGGAGACATTAGAAATGATAACCGTATAACCTATAAACATAAAGCCATAAATAACCATTATTCACACGGAATAATCTTGCTCCACTCGCTCGCAAGCTCGCTCGTTTCGCAAACGTAAACTTTCTGAATAGTAAGCGGCATTAAGTCGTAACATGCTTGTAATACTATCGCGGGCGATGTGCGACAATTTTAAATTCGAATTAACAAAACCCCTGCGCACTGTAGTAAGTACCGTATCGACAGTATCGGCGACTTTTCCTGAATCTACCGATTGCAGTCGAGTACGGTACAATCAACATTAGACGCGACACCACTGTCTTTTTTACTACTCGGCAAACCGGTAAATTCATACCCATACAAAACATATGCCTTTCCAATGCTAAAAGGGTCTAAAGTTTAATGTTTGATTCGAAGCTGCATCTGGGGTGCAAGATCGTCTGACGTTAGCAATGACGATGCAGTGAAGATGAAAAAATATGCATGCGAGTATGCATGTGAGTCAGAGCGAACAAAACCAAATCTGTAGGAGTCTTTGGGTATTAATAGTTCCAATTGTTATAATTTACTCTCTAATTCATCCACGTTTTTACTTTTGAGCGAAAAATCAAACTTTGCGTCTGTGTGTGAAAGTTTGAATACAACTCCAGTATTTGGAAAAATCCAAAGAAACCGAATAT